TTTTCTTCTGCAGTTCGGCACCGCCTGCAGCAGATGGCGCTCCAGGCGACCGCCTAGTTCGCCTATGCCAAGAGCATAGGTTTAAATTAGGTGTAAGTCATTCACAGCACAAAGTGCACTTATTGACTGATCATTGTTTAATTTTTTTTTGCATTAACTGTTGGGAGTCAACCTTGGGTGTCTGTTAGCAAAATATTTCATAAAGAGTGTTTTTTTTTTCAAAGAAACTTCAAGAAAGTCATCATTAGATGTAAAACTGAGTCACTTTTGGAGTAAATGTAATGCAAGATGGCCGTCACAGTTTACTGGCATTAGYGAATACAAAAATGGCTAGAACTCGGGCAATTTCAAATATATTGCGCTGAAATTTGATGTGGTGRTAGCATGAGTTAGTGTGACAATTTATGATTTTGCGTACAATGATCTTGGCCTAAAATCAAACAATGAGTCCATCATAATCATCTACAACCTTCGCTGTTCCTGGATCTCTGCCTGGCTCTTCAAACAGAGCCAAACTCTTTCTCATCTGGTTGTCGCAGACTGGTCGGACTGGAGACTAATGACCCGTTTCACAGTCAAAACACAAATGCTGAAAGTGTCAGTGAAGTCTGTGGTGAAAGAAGCTCTGAGAGAGGAAGCTTGTGCTGCTCCGACGTGGGAATTGTTTGTTGCTTTAGATTTATGAGGAGCTGATACTCTTGCCGGGCCTCTTATCAAGACAGATAATACCATCTATTAATAGATAATCTGTTTCACTGAGCACAGATGAGCTRGTGCTGTTGCTGCAGTGCCAACAAGAGTGGAAGATGTTCAAAAGTGTGTGTGTGTGTTGTGTGTGTGTTTACGAGGCTTTAATAATTTTGCCAGCATGAGTTTCCTGTTTATAACAATCTGACCCACTGGACAGTCACACAAGGACATGGGGTGTGTCACAGTGACCCTTTGCAGGGTTAAAATGTTAACACATGTTTGTTTTCAAAGCAAAATACAACCCTTGAGCTTTAAAACTGTTTTTACAAGAGGTCAGGAGAGACAGCAGCTCAAAACAGTCGTTGTTACAAAACCCGTCCTCACAAGGAAATATCATGTAAACATACGGCCAATTCTAGCATTTATAATAAATTGATTCTGTATCATGAATGTTTCAAATTTCAGGTTATAGAAAGCTGGTTTAAAGTTAAAAATGGGTCTTTCTGGTGGACGTGTGTGACTAGAATATAGTTTTAAATGCCTTAGTCCCATTTAAACATCCATACAGRCTACTTATTAAGTCATAGTTTTGTTTTCTGCTCCTGGGTCAAAAAATACAGCATCATGATTCAATTACACTATTTTGGGCTTTCATTGATGTTAATACACATTTAAATTGCTTGAATG